ACAGTAAGAACAGGCAGAGACACAGTAAGAACAGGCAGAGACACAGTAAGAACAGGCAGAGACACACAGTAAGAACAGGCAGAGACACACAGTAAGAACAGGCAGAGACACACAGTAAGAACAGGCAGAGACACACAGTAAGAACCTATCTCAAAAAAAAAAAAAAGTGAAAACTAAAAAACAATGTTAGAAGATGAATATGATAGGTTTTAAAGAATAAGAACAGGGAGTAGAAAAAAGTATCCACCAACTTTTAATGCTAAGTTATTTTATTTAATCAGCATACAGCTAAAATGTAACAAACGATTAAAAGAAGAGAGTCAATCCTACAAGTGGCCAGGCAGAGATGTACCATGCAAACCAAGAAAATATCAACAATGCGATATGGCAGAAGAATTAAAAGTTTGAGGCCAGCCTGAGCTATATAAATGGGACCCTGAAGAACACAATTTCTGAAAAATAAAATAAAAACCCTGTAAGATCATAGTTACCCTTTATACATGCTGTTCTGTATATAACCTAGCTGCTACTCCTTTTATCAAGAGATAAAATCTGTGTACCACTACCACCACCCCCAGGAAATTTGTATAGGTCAAACGACTGCTTTGAGCACCGCTCTGACTTCTGGATATACGCCTCAAGAAGCCTATCAGTTCCTTTCCTGTTGTTATAAAACACTATGAGAAGACAGTTTACCATGGCTTACAGTTCCAGAGGGTTAGAGTCCACACCAGTGGGACAGAGCACAGCAGCGGGCGGCTGGAGTAGAAAACCAAGGGATCTTGAACAGCAGCAGGCATGGGATAGAGCAAACTGAAAAGTGAGGCAAGGCAAACCTTTCAACTCTCAAAGCCAGCTCCATTAACACAGTCTCCAGCAAGGCTACAACAGCGCCACCAACTGGGGACCAAGTGTCATGTCAAATGCCTAATCCCATTCAAACCACACTTACCAACTAGCAGCTATGCAACAAGTCTAGGCTACCTGGACTTTCAAAAACAGCACTAAGATGCCAGACATATTAGTACAAAGGCCGTCTTGGAAATAGCTAGCCAAGCTTTCAAGTGTTGTACAAAAACAGATAGCTAGCATACACACAAAGCAACAAGGAATGCTACTGTTAAAACATATTACAAAGCATCCATAAATTAAAGAAAAAAAAAAGTTTTACCCCAGAATCTGGTACCTGTGTGACTTATTCACATCTAACTATAAAAAACATTAGCAAAATCTCTAGTTAAAAAACAAAGCAGGTAGCCAGGTGGTGGTGGCACACACCTTTAATCCCAGCACTTGGGAGGTAGAGGCAGGCAGATCTCTGTGAGTTCGAGGCCAGCCTGGTCTACAGGAGCTAGTTCCAGGACAGGCTCCAAAGCCACAGAGAAACCCTGTCTCGAAAAAAACAAACAAACAAACAAACAAACAAAAAACAAAAGTAGGTATTGCCAAGTAAAAAGAGAGAATAACAGACCCATTAAAAAGAAGCTATAGCTAAGCACAGTAGACCACTCCAGCTACCCCAGAGGCCAAGATAGGAACAACATTTCCTAGGCCAGCCTAGGGTAATCGAGCCAGAACTCATTAAAAAAAAAATCAGGAAAAGCAGAATAAAATAAGTGGAGAAAATTTTAAGAAAAACTTACTAAAGTTAAAAAAAAAAAAACAAGTTACAGGTCAGGTGGTGGCCGGGCGGTGGTGGCGCACGCCTTTAATCCCAGCACTCGGGAGGCAGAGGCAGGCGGATCTCTGTGAGTTCGAGACCAGCCTGGTCTACAGAGCTAGTTCCAGGACAGGCTCCAAAGCCACAGAGAAACCCTGTCTCGAAAAACAAAAAAAAAAAAACAAAAAAAAAAATGCAACAGGTCAGGTGGTGGTGGCGCACACCTTTAATCCCAGCACTTGGGAGGCAGAGGCAGGCGGATCTCTGTGAGTTCGAGACCAGCCTGGTCTACAGAGCTAGTTCCAGGACAGGCTCCAAAGCCACAGAGAAACCCTGTCTCGAAAAACAAAAAAAAAAAAACAAAAAAAAAAATGCAACAGGTCAGGTGGTGGTGGCGCACACCTTTAATCCCAGCACTTGGGAGGCAGAGGCAGGCGGACCTCTGGGTTCGAGGCCAGCCTGGTCTACAAGAGCTAGTTCCGGGACAGGCTCCAAAAACTACAGAGAAACCCTGTCTTGGAAGAAAAAAAAAAGTCACTGTGTTAGTAATCTCTTTGGGATGACCAACAATCTCTAGCCCCTTGGGTACCCAATTCCCCTCCTCTTGAATGTGAATTAGATACAGTGACTCCTGCCATACAAAATGCAGAAAGAACTTCTCAGAGTTCCCACTACCTAAACATTCCAAGCTCATCTGGTACTGTCAGGAGCCAGCACATTTAAACCTAATGCTTAACAAGGAATAAAAACCAGTAAACAAATATGTGAAGATGCTTCAGGCCCTGAACGCCACAACTGCAGCGGGGGCAACTTCACAGCAAGCACGACCCTCAGACACCTAACAGCCACTCTGCATTCCTGAATTGGGGGTAAGTCGTGATGAAGCAATACTTTAACAAAGGATCCTAACCAAGAGAGCCACACATGATGGCAATATAGAGAGCTGTGTGGAGCCACCTGATGGTACTGGCTCCCGCCCTCCGCGATCCCGAAAGCGAGTGCTCTCTGTGATAACGCAATGATTGTCAGCAGCTTGCATATGCGTGGACCTATGGGCAATGCCCACCTGGCAATCCGGGGTTGGTAGCCCATGCCTGCTTAAGGGCTGGGAGAGGTTTGCCCAGGGGGAAAGAGGAAAGAGGGGAAGAGAAAGAGAGTTACAATTGTTAAAAAAGGTCCTGAATAAAACTGCTAGCAACAAGAGCTCCGGCTGGACGTGACACCTAACCAAGAGAGAAAGAACACTGCATGCACTGAGAAGAGGAAAAATACATAGAAAAAGAACAAAAGCAGGGAGAGCCCAGAGTAGAGAGCATCTTGCATCGCTCTGCACGAATACATCTCACAGTCTACGCAAATTCAGCGTTCAAACCCTGAACAAACCCATTCAAATGACTGAAACTGACCCAGGACAATAATGCAAACCATGTGGGGAATTTTACAGGTTAGAATGGGGAGGGAGGGGCAAGGCAAGCTCTCTAAGTTCTTCAAGTCATGAAACAATTTCTCGCTCATATGTACCAGAATACAAATAAGTATGCAAATTTCAAGACAATGTAGTACGATCCCCAAAACCTGCAAAGATAGTACAAACTAAAAAGAAACTAATTTCCAAAAATGAAGACTTTATAAACTCCTGAGCCCTGGGCTGTACTCCAGCACAGCGCCACATTACACTTCACAGTCTCTGAAGAAATACAGTTAGCACTCCAGAGCTCAGTGACTTACTTGCCACAGGCCTTCTGGTGAGTCAGCCAGAAGTCTGGGAAAAAGTGCGGTGGTGCCATCACCCTGCCAGGGCCTCACAGCACTGTGGCCCTAACTGATAAAATCTCTCCGTGAAACTACAAATTTAATTCAGAGCTGCTTCGATTAACCAGTACACACCTTTAACCCTAACACCTGGGGTGCCGAAGTGGGCAGGCCTCTGTGAGTTTGGGGTCAGCCTGGTCTACAGAGCTAATTCTAGGACAGCCAAGGCTACACAAAGAACCCAGTCCTGAAAACCAAAACAAAAAAACAAACAAAAAAAAAACTTCAAAGTGAAAATATATTTGATGGAAAACACTTGCTGAAAAACAAACTCCATATATACACTACCTAAAGTCAAACTTTTACTTTACCAAGCTAAATTCAGTACCTTGGGTCACAAGAAATGGATGTAGACGGATGTTAATGCTGGCAGGAAGGAACTGGAATAATAAATCCAGTCTGCAAATGTATAAATGATAAAGTACACACACCATTTGTGTGCATGCCTTCAGATGCAGTCTTGTAAAACTTTACATAAAAGTGAAAATTTTGCAGGGCAGTGGTGATGGCACGTGCCTTTTTCCCAGCAGAGGCGGGAGAATTTCTACGAGTTCAAGGACACCCTGAACTACAAAGCAAGTTCCAAGACGGCTAGGGCTGTTACACAGAGAAACCCTGTCTCAAATCCACCCTGCCCACACATACACCAAAGAAGAAAATCTTTTAGGAAGAGGAACTGGTGGCACCTTTAATCCCAGCACTCCAGAAGGCAGAAGCAGGTGGAGCTCTAAATTTGAGGCTAAACTGGTCTACAGTAAAAGTTCTGGGACAGCCAGGGCTACACAAGAAACCCTGCCTTGGAAAAAAAAAAAAATAAGCCCAAGGGGTTGGAGAGATGACTCAGAGGTTAAGAGCACTGACTGCTCTTCCAGAGGTCCTGAATTTCCAGCAACCAAATGGTGGCTCAAAAACTGTATGTAATAAGATCTGGTGCCCCCTTCTGGCCTGCAGGGAGACATGCAGGTAGAACATTGTATATATAATAAATAGGGGGGGGGGAGGTGAAAGTCTTTGAAGTCAAATGACAGTTGTTTCTCGCATTACACCTCCTCCATAAGATGGTTAGAATTTTATACACCACCAATATACATCTTTTTTCAGGATATTTTAAATTTTACATCATAGCCCAGACCACACACTGTAAAAATGTACACCTAACTTATCGGAGCTTACCTGGCTTGTTGATTGATCTCCTGATCTGGATACTGAATATATTTTATCTTCTCCAACTTTTCCAGGTTCTTTTGTTATTCTAAAATCAAAACAATTAATGTTTCAGATTTTGTAAGAAAAAAAAGGAGAGGAAAATTGCATCGGGAAGGTTGTTCACGAATTCTGCGGCTTATCTACACTAGAGCCCGATGGTTGGTTGGCTATTTCTTGTTTAGTAGAAAAGTAGTGACGCCAACAGCCACAACAGCCTGCAGGGAACACAACTTTCATCTGGAAAACCCCAACAATTTTGCCACACAAAAGGACTTTTTTCAACGTAAGGCATCTGTGAGTCTGGACCGTTTTAACCAATGGAATGACGGGTACTAAACACTCACGGTTCGGCTTGGTGGCTTGGCTGAGACCGTTTGCCCTCGCCGAGGACCTGGCCTCGACAGTTTACCAGGATGGCCTTGAACTCACAAGGACCCTGGCTCTGCGCTGGGACTACCGGCGTCCACTACAGTGCGCAGCTAGCTACAAAGTCTGGGCTGTTGAACCACGAAAAACACCCGCGCGCACCGACTTCCCCAGTTCGCAACTAAGAACCGAAGTTATCCGCATCAACGCGCCTCCCCCGCCTGTCTCTGCGAGGCCGTGGGACTCCGTTCCACCTACGCGGGTGCCCATCTGTAAAATGGGCAGAAGCTCTACGCGAACCCCAAACAAAGAAGCAGCTCAAGATGGCAGTCGTCCCCGCCCCTCCTCCGGGATGTCCCGGCTTCAACCGTCCCGCCTGGTCCTGCGGGGTCCGCTCGCCTCACCCACCGGCCGCCACCGGCCGCCAAGAGTCCGCCTGCAGCTCCGCGCCGCCGCTCCCCACGGCGCGCGTGGGACGAAAGCCACGGCCGCGGCGCCCAGCCCCGCCTCCCGCTCCTCCGGTCCCGGGCGGATGCAGTCGGGCAGCCGGGCTCGCAGCCACCCCGTCGGGGCCCGACCGCAGCCGGCGCGTACTCACCGCGAGGCTGGCGACGGCGCGCGCGGCGGAGGCTCTGGGGCAGCCTGGAGCGACGGTGCGAGCCGCTCCCCCGAGTCTTCAGCGGCCCGGGAGGGGCGGAGCCTGCGGGCGCCGCCGCCGCCTCCGAGCGGCTTTCGCCCGCGCCGCCTCGGCCAATGAGAGGGCGCGGGCGGCCTTTGAAAGTCAACGGCCGCGGGCCGGGCGCCTGCGCCCTGGGCGCCGCGGAGGAGCTCGGGGGTCGCGGCTCGGAGCGGGAGGGCCGGGGGGTGGGGCGAGCGGCCCGGGACGCCCGCGGCTTCTGGAGGCGGCTCGGCCCGACTGCTTATTACTGGCGACCACGCCCGCGCGCGCTGGCCCGGGCCACGCGGAGCCTTCCATTGTTACCTCACAGTTCCAGGCTCCCGCCGGCCGCTGAAGTCACCGCCTGGAGGGCACGTCCTCCGCCCGCCCCGCCGAGGCCTCGGGCCCCCCTTCCCTGGTGTCCCCTCCCGCCACCACCCCCAGTTGGGGCGCGCTCGGCGGGACTGGCGCCTGCTCCCCGCCCTGTCCCCGCAGGCTGTCCCTGGCCGCCCACCCTCGCCTCTCCAGCACGGGGGACCAGGGAGCGCAGCCGTCGTCTTCCCGCTCGCTCCCGGCCCCGGCTCCTCTCCCGAGTGCCCTTCGAAGTCGCACTCACTCCCGAGTTACGTGCGCGGGGCTCCACTCCGTGCATCGCTGGACGCCCAAGTTTTAAGCTTCTATTCGGGAGACCTCAGAAATCAGTAAGAACAGAAACCAAGATAAGATTAACGGAGGCCTGAGGCGCTCTCAGCAGTCCTCACCGATTCAGTTACCTAAGAAGGTGGAAGTTGTGGGTCCCGGGGACACCCGCAGATAGCTCCGCGGTTCCGCTTTACAGATCTGTTCCAAACTTTGAAGTCAGCCTGATGGCTTTTTAACTTCGCCATCATTCTAGGCTGCGACTGTCTTTCCAGAGCGATACATGCACTGCACGTACATGTTTGTTTCTCTTAAGAAATTGTGACTTGGAGAGGTGGCCCAGCAATGAACCGCTCTTCCTTCTCTTGATGAGGACCGGGGTTAGGGTCCCCGTACCCACACGGCAGCTCACAGCCGTCAGCAACCCCAGTTACAGGGTATCCCGTGCAGTCTTCTGCCCACCCACTCCGCTGGCAACAGGCGTGCATTTGGAGCATCCACACATATGCAGGTCAACACGCGCGCAGATTTTTAAGATTTTAAAATCATTTAAACGTGTAATCACCTCTAGGATTAATGGCGAGTATTGAGGAGTAGTGATGTTTTGAGTTACTATTTACGCCACCGGCTTTCACCTCCGTGCTTCCTTACTTCAAGAAGACAGAAGCTGCACTCACGGGTTGTTGTTTTCCCAAAAGCTCTAACACATGAAGGAGTAAGAAGCAGAAGGGGGAAAGTATGTTAGTCCCCAAAACTGAGGCGCACAGAGATCGGACAGATGCCCTGATGGAAGAAGGTCACATTATCAAAGAAGGGCAGGGTCCTTAGTGGCAGTGTTAGCCTGAGATTCCAACTCCTGGAAGACGGAGGCAGGAAGAGTCCTAGTTACCCGCGCGTGTGGGCTGCGTAGCTAATTCCAAGCCAACCTATGATACACAGCAAGACAGACCTTATCTCGGAGACAGGATGGAAGACGGGGAGGAGAAGGAGGGCAGAGAAAGGAAGAAAACGCCATAGCTGCGCCTTCAAAGAACATGCCTTAGAGGTTCATAAAGTTCTCCACGCGGCCAAAGATTTCTGCAACCAGACGTGGGGGAAGGGCAGAGAGGTCGAGGAAAGGAGCCTTAGAAACAATGAGGCTCCACAATGGCCAGCGTGACGTACTGACATATATGTGAATCATGACATGCTCTCCATAGAGGGTAGTGCTGGCCTGGGAAAGAGAGAACAGAGAATTAAACTAATTAAGAAATTCAAACAAATTAAGATCAAGGCTTAAAAGCAATAAACCAAAAGATCCCATGTGGAGGTGCTTGGTCCTCCCAAAAACTTAGTCTGCAAAAAAATGGTCAGCTGCTTTGGGTCTCTTCCTAGATAATATTTCCATTATGATATATGCACTCCCAACAATCCCTTTGTGATCTAATTTAAAAGAACAGAATAAAGGTAATGAATATTCGCATTTGTTACAGGTATAGCATGGGAGAGCTGGTGACATAAAGCGTGAATTCTGGGCTGGGCGTGCGGCCCGTGCTCACCTGGAACGGTCAGTCCTCAGCCCTGAAAGCTAATCAGCTGTGTGTGCTGACTTCTTGGCGCTCCACAGAGGCCTTGCTCGACACATTCTGACTTGAGCCCTGAAGCAGGAGGTCTCAGCACTGGCTGCTCACCCAGGATCCAGTCCCATCCCCCACAGGGCAGCTCACAACCATCACAGGGAATCTGGCTCTTCTGAGATCATCAGGCTTGCATGTGGCTCACACATACATGCATGTTACAAAGCACACCCGGTCACATTAAATAAACAGGTAGGCTTGGGTTTTTTGTTTCGTTTGTTTTGTTGCTGCTGTTTTGCTTGACCCTAAGCAACTCAGCAGTTGGAGCACTTTACTCTTCTTCCATCACAAGCGCCTGAGTTCAGTGCCCAGGATGGAAGTGGACCCTACACAACACCCTGTGACTCTAATGCTGTCGCCTGGCTCTGTGGACACCCCCACGTGTCTGGTAATCACTCATAAACATAAAGAATAGAAACGGGAGGAAGCCCGCATCCTTTCTTAGAAGAACAGTACATTTCTGAAGGAATGACAACCAGCATAGATTTGTATAAGGCACAAATTCTAGGGCAGTTACTAAAAGATAACAGGGAAAAGCCAGTAGAAGCTAAGGCTTCCCTCAAAGATCTTGTTGGTCTGAATTCATTGTAGCCCCAACTAGTCTCAGGCTAGCAAGGTCACTTTCCAGTCTTCATACCTGAAGGAGATCCTTCCCACAAGAATCTCTCCTTTTTCACACAGGAAAATACAGGCCCATTGGCCCTGTTTAAGTCAGAGTTCCTCAAGAGATTTCATCTTGCGGTCATCAACACACCAGCCCAGCCTAACTGGAGAAGGCACTTAACACCGTGGGAGTCGGCAAGTCAGCGTGCACAACTGTGTGGTTAGGAGTGGACTCCAGGTCAAATGTGGTGGTTCATATCTGTAATCACAGTATTTGGGAAGCTAGGCAGGAAGATTGCTGCAAGTTAGAGGCCAGCATGAACTATAGGATGAGTTTGAGGACAACCTGGACTACACGGTTGGGACCTTATCTCAAAACAACACAAGTAAAAAGAACATTCTCTGTCTGTAATGCTTTTCATCGCGGTGGGAAGACAGATTTAATAGTATATGCCTGTAATGTCAGCACTGGGGAAACTGAGGCAAGAGGACAGCCATTAATTAAAGAACAGCCTGGATACTGATGAGCCCCTGACTCTAAATTGATAAATAAATACCCTTGGTTAATCAAAATTGTCCTTGTGTCTTTGTAACCTATTTAAGATTTCAGGCCCAGGGAAAATGTTTCTTTTGCTTGTTTTGTTCTCTAAGAAGCCATGAATGTCACAGGATGATAACTTTGTTGCCACCAGCTAAGGAATTGGGTAGGAATCTCACAAGTTCTTCCTTTCTAGCATGTATTGCTTTAAACAATGTTAGCCACAGCTTCAAGATAGATGATTTCTAACACCAGGTGCATTGTGAGGCTGATCATGGTTTACAAGTAGAACCCAGGCACTCAGAGAGTGGTGAGGGAGGGGGCCTAGACTCTCATCAAAGAGTGGTGAGGGAGGGGGCCTAGACTCTCATCCTCAGGTATTCAGGGTTGACAGAAGACTAGAGCGAACTCTCTAGGAAAGGGCTGAGGGGCTGCCTTCAGTACTCCCCTTTTTCCTAGTATCTGCCCTTCACCTAAAACCTAGAAAAAGGTCAGCCTAAGACTGTGGCATCCACTAGATCCTTGGTTAATCCAAGAGGAAAACCATCATTGCACTGGTGGGTGCTAAGGTGGGTGCCAAAGGTCCTACCCAGTTGTGCCAACTAGGGGGCCAAATAAGCCTCTGCAGAGGCATACTAAGAGTCAATGTCAGAGGCAGAGACGGACAGATCTCTGTGAGTTAAAGGCCTACAGAGCGAGTTCCAGGACGTAATGAGCCTACAGTACTGCTCAGTCACTAGGTTGGGTAATGTTCAGGTGTGATGCCCCCGGTGGTACACTACCTGGAAAGTAATAGGTTTTCTATAGCCCAAATAATAGGCTTCTCTGCCCACGCAGTAAGCCAGATCAAGCCTAATTGAAAAAGTAGAATAGGTTTATTTGAGCAAATCAACGCCCAGGTAATAGTCCAGAGATAGTCCAGAGACAGAGACTGGAGAAGTCACACACCCAAACTAAAGCAGGGAGGTTATATAGCTTTGTAGGCAGGGGATGGTGACTTGTCTACCACAAGCTGGGTTTGTGCCCAAGTATGTTATAAAAAATTGAATGCTTTAGGTGGGAACTTGGGCTGCTGGTAACTTAGGGGAGGAGCTGCCATAGCCACCAAGAATGCAGAAAGGCAGGAATGGGGCTTCTCAGACCATGCAGGAGCTGCAGGAGAGCTGGAGGTTCCAACAGAACAGGAAGAAGCAATGACTCCAAAAGTCATGAACCTGACTTCATCTCCTCCAGGGAAAATCTTTCTCTACTAAGTAGGTTTTCTGAGCAGTCGTTCCCCCTAGAACTTCATAGATGAGCACCGAAGCTACCCATCCCTTTACCTCTCCAGCCCCTCCCTTGCCCCTCCCAAATCAATATCTCTTCTTTAAATATATGTAAATATAGATAATGTGCAAAATCTCTTTACCTTGGCCCATGTGCACACGAGTCCTGGGCTGACCACGTGGAATTATGGGTAGGTGTGTGGGAACTCTTCCCTGGAGAAAACTGACTCTTCCTATCTCAGCAGTCATGGCCCTCCTGTAGCTCGTTATGTTGGAGTGGAACCACGTGGAATTTCCCTGTCTGCATTGGCATTTCAATCCGTGTCGTTATTTGCCATTGTTGCTCAGGCAACTACATTGCTGCAAGTTCATGGGTGTGCTGTCCCTGCTATGTCTAGGGGACAGAATCTCACAGCTGACTTCCAGGACCTCTGGCTCCTATAATCTTTCTGCCCCTGAGCCTTAAGTGTAGGTGCTACATTGCAGATGTATCAGTTGGGATGAGGGACCCCACAGTTCTTTCTGCATTTTGGGTTTTTTTTATTTATTTATTAAAGATTTCTGTCTCTTCCCCACCGCCGCCTCCCCTTTCCCAATCAAGTCCCCCTCCCTCATCAGCCCAAAGAGCAATCAGGGTTCCCTGCCCTGTGGGAAGTCCAAGGACCACCCACCTCCATCCAGGTCTAGTAAGGTGAGCATCCACGAAACTGCCTAGGCTCCCACGAAACCAATAGGTCCAGTAGAATCAAAAACCCGTTGCCATTGTTCTTGAGGTCTCAGTAGTCCTCCTTGTCCGCTATGTTCAGCGAGACCAGTTTTGACCCAGGCTTTTTCAGACCCAGGCCAGCTGGCCTTGGTGAGTTCCTGATAGAACATCCCCATTGTCTCAGTGTATGGGTGCACCCCTCGCGGTCCTGAGTTCCTTGCTTGTGCTCTCTCTCCTTCTGCTCCTGATTTGGACCTTGAGATTTCAGTCCGGTGCTCCAATGTGGGTCTCTGTCTCTGTCTCCTTTCATCGCCTGATGAAGTTTAATATTCAGGAGGATGCCTATATGATTTTCTTTGGGTTCTCCTTCTTATTTAGCTTCTCTAAGAACCCGACTTATAGGTTCAATGTCCTTTATTTATGGCTAGAAACCAAATATGAGTGAGAACATCCCATGTTCCTCTTTTTGGGTCTGGCTTACCTCACTCAGGATGGTGTTTTCTATTTCCATCCATTTGCCTGCAAACTTCAAGAAGTCCTTGTTTTTTACTGCTGAGTAGTACTCTAATATGTATATATTCCATACTTTCTTCATCCATTCTTCAATTGAAGGGCATCTAGGTTGTTTCTAGGTTCTGGCTATTACAAACAATGCTGCTATGAACATACTTTTGTTGTGTGATAAGGCCTCTCTTGGGTATATTCCCAAGAGTGGTATTGCTGGGTCCATGGGTAGGTTGATCCCGAATTTTCTGAGAAACCGCCACACTGCTTTCCAGAGTGTTTGCACAAGTTTGTATTCCCACCAGCAATGGATGAGTGTACCCATTTCTCCACAACCTCTCCAGCAAAGGCTATCATTGGTGTTTTTTATTTTCGCCATTCTGACAGGTGTAAGATGGTATCTTAAAGTTGTCTTGATTTGCATTTCCCCGATCGCTAAGGAAGTTGAGCATTTCCTTAAGTGTCTTTGGCCATTTGAACTTCTTCTGTTGAGAGATCTCTGTTCAGCTCGGTGCCCCCATTTTATAATTGGGTTGATTAGCCTTTTCGGTCTAGTTTCTTGAGTTCTTTATATATTTTGGAGATCAGACCTTTGCCAGATCCGTAATTTTGATTTTTTTCAACAGCAATTTCAGATTTGGGATAGGATCATCACAGATTTACTCTCTGCATTTTGAACTTGTAGATCTCTACTGTGGTCTCCATCCACTGCAAAAAGCAGCTTCTTTGAGGGTTGAGAGCTACACTTATGTGTGGGTATGAGGATAAATATTTAGAAAACAGTTGGAAATCATATTGGCTTAGGAAAATGGTAGAAAGGTCTCCTCTGGGGTCTATGGCCTCCGCAGTCATGAGTAGTTTGATCGGTTTCCGGTACCAGGCATGCAATTCTCCCCCGTTAAGTGGGACTTAAATCCAGGTAAAACTACCAATTGCTCCTCTTCCTTGGTAGCTGACCTAGCATCTTCTGAAACCGGAAGAACCAGGCCTCGGGAAGGCAGCTTCCAGGGCAGTGTCAGTTCTGTTCCTCTAAGGCCTGTATATGGTGTCTTCAGCAAGAGGCTCCTACCTTAAAATTCTGGGAGGCAACCACATTAGGTTGTATTGTTTTGTGGGTCTCTTAGACGCCCTTGTCGCCCTTGTCCGGGAGCTCAAGAACAGGATCCTCATGCTTGGCACTTGGGATTTTGTTGATAGTCTATGGTTCCTGGCATAAAGTAATTTAAGCTATATAACTAGGTATACACACACACATATATTATATGTATATAATATAAATATAAATATTATTTATATTTAAGGATAAATATAAATTATATTCCTTATGTCCTTTTCAAATATCAATGTCTTATAGCCTTCCTCTCTCCTCTTCCTCTCTTACCTATACAGGCTTTAAGGGGACAGCGAAAGGACAAAATCAGCTTGCTGTGTAATTGGTATGTTGTTCTTCAAATGACCAGTTACTGTGTTGAAAACAAGTCATGATTTCAGCCACCTGCCAAAGAACAATCGCAGGTCTATTACCCTTAAACAAAAAGATGTTTGTTACAGCCAGACAATGCTGGCAGAGATGAGTCCGCCTTGTGACGGCTTCATCACCACACACGGCCATTCCTTCCTCCTCCCCCACATTTCCAGAGGAAAGCGAGGTCTATTTGCTTTTCCATATAGAGCAGCTCAGCATTTCTTGAACCAGCTCCTGACTTCCTTATTCATAGACTCAAGCTGTTCTCACTAAAACAAACGCAGTTCCTTCTCTAGTAAGAATTGCAGTGTGGGAGAGACGCTGTGTTTGCTTAATCGTAACAAAAAGATGGCCTTGGCAGTTTGTGTGTTTACAACTCTCCTTTGCAGTAAAAACTGATAACTGTCAGAACATTGAAACCCCCACGACTCCTACAACTGCTCCACCGCAGCTTCGCTCTGGATCCTGGAGCTTCCAGTTCACTCGCGCTTAGGAATTCTCATGCGTAAAGTCCGCTCGATCCAACTCAAAACTGGGGGAACAAACAATGCCAAGTTCAAAGCAAGACTGTTGTCTGATTCAAAGATCCGAGAGTAGGTCTAGGAAGATGGCTTAGTGGGCAACTGTGGTTGCTATCAAGTCTGATGGCCGGAGTCTGATCCCCCGAATCCCCTGGTAGAAAAGAGAACCAGCTCCCAAAAGTGGTGCCTTCACCTCCCCTGTGCTTCCCAACATGCCATGCCCACTAAATTTTAAAAAATTATACCCCAGAATTACTTTTAAGGTTCCCAAAGTTACTGTAAAATTTCAAAATATTTCTCGGCATATTTTAATAATTTCGGTTTCTTTATAAAATATACATGAGCAAGTTGTAATTACAAGGTAAGCAAGATTTAGCTTTGTGTCACCCTTCCAAATTGTAATTCATCTGAAAATTCAGCAATCAATACTGTTTAAACCATGTTGACTCTTCCTCGGAAATTATGTTTAGAGTTAGTCCATGAACCAGACCTCCAAATAAAAATAAGAATCACTAATTTCATGGGCCTATTTATAATTATAAAACAGAAAGCAGATCCTGGGGCTAGAGAGATGGCCCAGAGGTCCTGAGTTCAATTCCCAGCAACCGCACGCACAGTGGCTCATAACTATCTATAATGAGATTTGGTGCCCTACATGGCAGAACACTGTATATATAATGAAGAAAGAAATCTTTTATAAAAAATGGCCAATTTATGGGACTGATCTATAAATAAAGAGAAAGAAGAGGTTTTAGTAGGCAACTTTCTAAAGAATTACTTGTTTATTTCCTGGGCATTGGTGTTTTGCCTGCATATATATGAATACATTGTATATAGTGCATATATATATGCATATAATGTGTGTGAGACAGTGACAGGTCCTCTGTGAACTGGAGCTACAGACAGTTGTAAGCCATCGCGTGGGTGCTGGGAATTGAACCAGCGTCCTCTGGAAGAATAGCCAGTGTTCTTAACTGCTGAGCCATCTCTCCAGGCCCTAGTATAAAACTTTTCATTTGTACAAAAAGAAACAGGAAATGGATGCCAAACCCATAAGGTGACTGCTCGGCAGAGGACGGCTGAGACCCTGATGAAGGAGACATTTGTATAGCTTAATGATAAGGAAGCAAAAGATCAGAGCGAGTGTGGATACTTACAAGATAATTCTGAAAAGTTGTATTTGAAAGAGCTGGAACTCTGCACACCAGTTTTAGCTTTAGTCCCTGGTTGAGCTGTATTTGTGTGTGTTAACTGACCCTGGGGCCCTACGTCGTGAACAGCTTGGAATGGCACTCAGTGTCCTACCCTTTGTTAGCCGGCTGTCCACGGTGCCATTGAAGTCCACGCATGCGCCGTAGAGGGGAACCATCACGTGATGGGTAATTTCGGATGTCAGCTTGGCAGGGCCTAGAATCACCTGGGTAGAGTTTCGGTGAGGGATTGTCTGGATCAGGTTGGACTGCAGGCATGCCTGTGAGGGATTGCCTTAATGAGGATAACTGGAGTGGAAAGACCAACCCCAAACGTGGGTGACGGCATTCCCCGGGCTGCGCCCTGGCCTGGATGAGAACAGAGCAGCGCGGCCTGTGGTGTCACGCTTTGCTTTTGACTAGGATGCAGTGTGCCCAGCCTCCTCCCAAGGTCCGGGTGCCCTTGACTTCCTCGCCGGGATGAGCTACACGCTTGAACTGCGAGCTGGAAGAAGGCCTTTCTCCCCGTGTTGCTTCTCGTTGGGATATTTTATCATAACAGCTGGGGGGAAACGTAAGACACGTCACCAAGTGAAGTCTGTCCACCCACACAGCGGAATCCATCACAAACTTGTGCTTGAAGCTTGTTAAAATAAACTTGTTACAAGACAGGTTAGTTCAGTTCAGTTTCAAACAACACACTAGCAAGGTTATGGTCTCTGTTCCCTGCCAGCGCAGTAAAGTTAAACTTCATTTCTATTTTTAATCTGTAAACATTTTATTTAAATTTTATTTATTGGGCGGGGGGTAACATGGGCCACAGCACCCTTGTGGAGGCCGGAGGAAAATACACAGGAGTTGGTTCTCTTCTTCTGCCTTGTGCTACTTGGATTAAACTCAGTCCTTAGGCCTGACAACGTGAACCTTTACCTGCTGGGCGGGTTCAGCGGGACTGTGTTTTCATCTTTACTACACAGCCCTGATAACCTTGTCCCCTTTACACACACACACACACACACACACACACACACACACACACACACACACAATAAATTCATGAAGCAGTTGAAACTAAAGTATAAAATAAAACCTGTCTTTGAAAAGTGTTTTTTGATTTAAGAAGTAATGAGTATAGTGTCCCTGGCATCTGCACCTGGGAAGCAGAGGCAGGCCAATCTCTGAGTTCAAGGACGGCCTGATCTACAAACTGAATTCTAGAGCAGCCAGGTCTTATGTAGAGAGAGCCTGTCTCAAAAGGGGGGGGGGGAGGAAGGAAGGAAGGAAGGAAGGAAGGAAGGAAGGAAGGAAGGAAGGAAGGAAGGAGTCACAATGGAACTTAAAAAAAGCCATCGGTTTAGATGGAGATTTCAATAGTCCTCCTTCTTAGAGACAACCACTGCTCCTGGTGAGATGTGCCCTAGGGTAAGATGGGAGAAGCTGGACCAAAGAGCTAGGGGCTAGCCTGGAAAACAAAGACTTTGCCCTAAAGGAGTGGGCACTGTAAGAGGACTTGGTGGGTAAGACACCTGCTGCCAAGCCTGATGCTCTGAGTCTTGAAATCCACATGGTAGAGGAGAACTAACTCCTGCGAGTTGTTCTCGGATCTCCACACGTGCTGCACATGCAAGCAACCATCCACATGCGCAGACATGAAACAAATAACTACATTCAAAAAAGGACGTTTAAAGCTGGGCAGTGGTGGCGCAAGCCTTTAACCCCAGCACTCAGGAGGCAGAGGCAGGTGGACCTTTGTGAGTTCAAGCCCAGCCTGGTCTACAGAGTGAGTTCCAGGACAGCCAGGACTACACTGAGAAACCCTGCTCTCACACACACACCCTCAAAAAAGGTTTTTTTTTTTTAAAGTGTTTTGGGGGAAAATAAAACCATGATGCACACAGAAACTACCTTTGGAAAACACAGGAAGAGGAACAGGACAGTGGGCTGTATTTCTGGTCTCCCAGTCACGGCTTGTCCCCCTAGACTTAGGAACACATGTACCACACACACGTACTTCAAGCCCCTGTTCTGTCTTCCCAGCGTTCCCCTGTGGATTGCTGATGTCTGTGAGATGTAGAGCTGCTCAGCTGTATCTCATCTCACTAAAGAGCGATGGGAACATTTGTCTTCACCAGCTCCTGGGGACGGTGACAAGAGCACAGAAATCAGCAGAGGCACACAAACCCCACTTAGTCCATCTATCCATCCATGTATCCATCTGTCTATTTATTTATCATCTATCCATCCATCTATCATCTATCTATCATTTATTTACTATTCCTTGACTTTTATTCATTTTGGTTTTGTTGTTGTTTTGAGACAGGGTCTCTCTACATATCCCTGGCTGTCCTGGAACTACCTCCTGTAGATTAGGCTGGCCTCGAACTCACAGAGATCCACCCACCGGCCTCTGCCTCCTGGCTGCTGGGATTAAAGGTGTGCACCACTGCTGCCTGGTTTATCCCCTGGATTTTAAAGTGCATCTCT